AATTGCATTAGCACTTGTGCTAGCAGTGGCAAAATACATCGATGTTTTTTTTTGGTTCGATGCATCGAAATGTATATCGATATTTTTCGATGCGTCGAAGGGCATACATCGGTGTGTCGATTTGCATAGGATTTTTCAGATAATGTTTCACAAGAAAACATGTTATTAGCAAAATTGTAGAAAATTTTAAATAAATTACTCCAACTGAGCTAATTTTGGGTTGACTTCGCGAGAGTGCACCACGCTTTGAACAAAATGACTTTATGGGGGGTGTTGAGGGGGTCGTACACATCACAAAACTGAAAACTGCACGGCGAGGAAACTCATAGTTTACGAATCATTTGTTGGTAAAGTTGAAATTTTCACCCAACAAAATGTACGATAACAAACCATTTCAAATAAATACAAGTGCGCAGAAAACACCCATTCCAACTAAATTAAGCTATTTGAACGTTTATCTATTTCATATTTTATTAATTTCATTATTTAACGATTAGGAACACGTTTATAAATTTGTTTACTTTTCTTTAGAGAGCCCAACCAGTATGAAAGTGCAAGTATGGACAATTACGAAGATGGCCGCATGTGTGATTAAGTGATGCCAGAATACGTTTCAAAATATGTTGCCGAATATGATAAGTTCTATTTTATTATGAGTTCTATGAGAGAAGTTCTGCTCAAAAATACTTCTGCTCATTTTCTTCGCAACACATAAAGAGAATCCTACTTTGTGAGGTTTATAATCCCTAAGCGCGGCCGCAGGCCGCCTACGCAGAAAGAATTTCTGCTCAAAAATACTTCTGCTTACTTTCTTCCCCACACAGAAAGAGAGTTCTACATTGTTAGTGTTATAATCCTTAAGCGCGGCCGCAGGCCGCCTACGCAAAGACAAGTTCTGCTCAAAAATACTTCAGCTCAATTACCTCGCAACACAGAAAGAGAACTCTGCTTTGTGAGGGTTATAATCCCTAAGCGCAGCTGCAGGCCGCCTACGCAGAAAGCAGTTCTGCTCAAAAATACGTTTGCTTATTTTTTTCGCAATACAAAAGGAGAATTCTACATTGTGAGGGTTATAATCCCTAAGCGCAGCCATTCCAATTTTTTTGGTCAAAGTTATTTCTCTTTTTTGAACAATTGAAAAGCTGGAATGACGGTTCAATGAAGCAGAGATGTCAGTTTTCAAAAAATATTGCAGCACCGATACATCAACTATTTATACAGCGAGTGAAAATTTTTCGATGCATCGAAGCAAAACAGACATTTTCGATGCATCGATGTTTTTCCGACATATCTACGCTAGCCATATGCAGTCTATGGTAATTCTCTAGTATAGGGTAACAACTCCTAAAAAAAGGTCCGGAAAAGTCGGGAGGGGTACCAAGCGACGCGTTCCGGTCCCCCTATTAACAATCTGGAGGGGGAGGGCTAATATTATTAACCATTTAAAAGTTATAAACAAAAAACTTTTGTTAAATTTCGTTGTTTTCTATGAGCAATTACCAAATCAAAAATGCACTAAATCACCAGTTTCTACTTTCAAAACACTAATAAAACGTCTCCGGTTATTATTTTATGCAAACAAAATCATTTATTCATTTTTATTTTATATATTTCGTTAATAAAACAGAGTAAACAAACTTTGCGCCTGCCAAAATTATTATAACCTCAAATCGCTGGTATCGCCACTTTATTTCACATTTCATTTGCGCTATTACACTCAGTTTACATTATACACTTCTTTTTTTACTTTCACCTAAATAAAATATTCTAACCAAAATATAATATCAAATTTCGCTATACCATGGCAGCGCTACTTTTATGGTTTACAGTTACTTATCGAAGTATTGATTTTTATGGAAAAAGCGCTGCAGGCGAAAATTTGTAATAAAAAATAGCCCTATGCGTATTTACATCTACCTGAGCCCTTAGCTTATCAGCCTTATCGTAATAGTACTTTCTGCTATTAAACGTGAAATCAAATGTGCATTGCCGTTTTCCATTTTAATTTTTAACTGTTTTTTTGTAATAAAAAAAGGCGTGAGTACTTATTAGGTATTCATGAAATTTGATGTGTAAACATATTCGAATGGCAAAGCATAAAAGTACGTTTACATATAAGTATAATCGCAATCAACGCTCGTTAGCTGTCAAGTTAGTTGTGCTTGTTATTCACCCAACTCGAGGTAAAGTTAAACTTCTTCTCTGCGCCACCGTGGTCACTTTTTTCTCCTACATATATTATGCTATTTAAATATACTTTAACTGAATAATAATAATAATACTTTGGCGCTTACACATAAGTTAGTGTTTGGCCGAGCTTCTCCTTTAACTGAATACTATATTAAAAATACCTTTACAAACCTCTTTTCCTTACATTCCTCCTCTTCTTCGTATAATCTATAAAACTAGGTTTGACACCAAAAAGTTATCGGTTTAATCTGGGATAATTTTATACTTATACAGATTAGGGAGTTAAGCTCGAAAATGTGGATAATCTTTATATATGTAAAGGTATTCTTAGGCGATTCAGTTACATACATACAAATGTAGGTTAGGTTAGAAATTTAACATTAATTTCACTTACTTTTATTAATTTTGCTGATTTAATTTGTTTATTCAGTTTCATTTTTAATTATTTTAATACATGAAATTATCGGTATGATTGATGAAATATGATACTTGTATATACTTGTGTCATCCGCACCAATTACTGTTCCTGAGCTTATAGATTGAGTATTTCTATTTGTATATGTATATTCCTAAATTTAGTTTTTCTTTTCGGAATATAATCTGTGGTTAATGTAAATGAGAGCGATTTTTGAAGAGTTGTGTAGAGATTGAAGTTGCAAGATTTTACCCGATGATTTTTTTGTTCCGTACGTGTTGCTGTTACTCACTTTTTATTCTCACTTTAGAGAGTGATTTTGCTGTTTGACCTTTTCCAGGATTTTTAACGAAAAGTATTGGATCAGAGCTATTATATCATCCATGCATATGTATATTATACATACATATATGAATGTATGTTCATCACTTATCAACGGTCCCAATTAAAATGATTTCAGTATTTTTTTTTAATTTTCGACTTTCTTTTTTATCAAAATAGGATACTAACAGGCCTATTCTGCTTGTTACCGAACATTTTGACACCGACAACTCTTGTTACCAGATAATAACACCACTTCTTGTAACCGCAATTCTAGGCACCTTGGTAACAGCTTAATCTAATCAGCAATTCAGCTATGAAGTATAAATTTTGGTGTTGCATACTTCACGGGGCAATATTTTGTTACCTGGTTATGAGATGGTAACAAAATTTATCAATGCGCAGAATGCGAAAAGGATTTAAAAATTACCAGGAGCTTTATTTACCGGTAACAAAATTTTTGTTACCAACGTAGAATAGACCTGTAAATCTATGCCTAAAACCATCTATTTACGAATATCAAAGCCTGTGGCACCAAATGAGTTCCTACATATATATGTACATACAAACTTAAGAATGCATACATATACATAGGTACACAGCCGTATGCATGTCTGGAGTGTGCATAATCGGAAGTAATTGTCGATTGTACCGCATTTCCTCTTACTATGCATATGCCTAAATGTATGCAACCATTTACAATAGCAAGTAAACACAGGGCGATTCTATTGAAATCAAAAGTTTTCTGCTGAAATACACATGCACGCCCTTCGAAATTTTCTGCTGAGCTATGCGTTACAGCTTCGCAAATTTCACCCCTACCGAAACCAAAGAAGTATACACATAAAAAAAAAATCTTCTTTTTAAGTTTTCTAACGTTTTTTGTTAAAGTATGGGTAGTTTCCTATTTTGAGTCGCGTGACAGTATTCACAATAACACAGTTGTTCGTATTTGGGTTTATCTAATTTATTTCCCATTCAAGAATTTTTAAGTCTGGTCTTATATTTTTGTTTCTTGTAAAAATGTAGCTTTTTTATTATTATTATTTATATTTTTTTATAGTGCTTTTTCTCTTTGAAGAGTCCCGTAGAAATAGCAAAGCTAAGCTTAATTTATAAAACCGGAGGGTCCCCTTTCGGTGGTGAATCGCGACTTTTTATTTAAAAATGTAATAAGCTGTTCTAGCCTGTTTATATTGAAGTTACCCTTATTCACATATGAACACTTCGTCGTCTTGTGCCAAAATTTTCGCAATATTGTAAACGCTCGTATTTGTGAAAGGGGGCTTTTGTACTCTGGAGGGTCTGGAGTTCAGAATCGCAGAATTAAGCTTCGGTTAAAACCCGGATTTAAAGTTTGGTTTAGTAACTTATAGGCTGTACAAGACGAACTTTATAGTTTTACTTTTATTTCTTGATCCCTTCTAGGAAGAGAGGCTTTTACACTTTGGAGGGTCTGGAGTTCAGAATCGCAGAATTAATCTCATGTTATAAACCGGAATTATGATTTCATTTAGAATTTATGGGCTGTATAAGCCATATTTTATATTTATTTCGCGAATCGTTGCTACTGATCCTTCTTCAAGAGTATATTTGTTGCAGTTGTCCGCTGCAGTCGCTTTCTTATTTTTTCTGATAAATTTAAAAACTTTTTTCATACATTTAACTTTTTTTCTTATTTCTTTCCAAAAAATATTTTCATCTGTTGGAGCATGTTCTTCAGCAGGGCTGTAAAACATTTCAGTCAAATTGGATTGCAATCGCATATTTTACGTAATACTGCAATCTGTAGTGGGATTCGCCATTCTATTTTAACGATTATCGAATCGTTAAGAAAACTTAATCACGATTTTAACGATTTGACAATTCGCTAAACATATTTTAACGATATTCGCTATCGCTTGATCAGCTGTTGTCGTTAACTACTCGATTCTCGTTAAGTAAACGACGAATATTTTGAAGTTGTTAGCGGCATCGACAAAAGAAAATTTGATATTTCATTTGAGTTAAAATAAAATAATATAGATCGCGAATTTACTTAAGTAATATATAAAAGAAAAACTTTTTGTTAAAAATGGCATTTGAGTATTTGGCATACGTTTTATACCAAGATGAGGAGATAATAAGCTCTTCATCAGTGGATAGACGTTTGCTTCGAGAAGTGGACAACCCTTTCGACTTGGCTGCAACTGAGTTTCGTAACCTTTACCGATTAACCCCAGACTTGGTTGAAGATATTGTTTCCCAGCTTGATAGCCAATTAAGGGGTCGAAGAATAACTGCGATAACGACAGAGAAACAGGTAAATAATGTAATTTTCAAGTATTTTTCAATTTTAAATGATTTTGTAAATTTTAAAGGTTCTAACTGCCTTGCGATTCTTCGCAACTGGCTGTTATCAATGTCCAGTCGGAGAGCAATGGGGGATATCCATGAGCCAGTCGTCCGTAAGTCGCTGTATACATCGCGTAACGGATGCAATAAACCGCACCATGTTTTTGGCAAAGGTTAGGTTTCCAATGACCCAAATAGAGCGGCAAGCTGCAAAAGAAATTTTCGCCTCAGCATCCGCACCATTTGTAGGAGGTACTATTGGGGCTATCGATTGCACTCATGTGTCAATCATGAGCCCAAAGCATCATGAAGAAGCGTATGTCAACCACCATGGATACCATTCTATCAATGTGCAAATGGTAAGAGTAAAATTTGCTCAAGGGTTAAACTACTGAGTATTAATTTTATTTTATACAAATATAGATATGTGATCCAAATCTAAAGATTTTGGCTGTCAATGCTAAATACCCAGGAGCGCGACACGATTCATTTATTTGGAGCTCCTCTGCAGTCCGGAGAGTTATGCAGCGAAGTTTTGAAAATGGAGACCATAACGTGTTTTTGATTGGTAACTTTTTAAATCCACTGAAACTTATTTATTAAAATCAATTTAATTGAAAATGTCCAATATATATTTGCAGGTGACTCAGGATATCCTTTGGAGCCGTGGTTGATGACTCCTCTACCAAACCAACCAGAAGGGAGTCCTAAATTCCACTACAATGAGGCATTGTGCAAAGCTCGAAACCCAGTCGAGAGACTTTTTGGCGTTCTCAAAGGAACTTGGCGATGCTTATCTCAGCAAAGGACTCTTTTGTATGATCCTGGATTTACTGGAAAAGTAGTAAATGCTTGCACAGTGTTGCATAACTTGCGATTGGGTAACCAAACATACGATCCCGAGACTGATTTCCTAGAGCCAAGGACACATAGCAGTAATGTAAATCAAGACGCGCCGTCTTCAACAGCAAAACGCGTCCAAGACCGGCTAATTGCAAATTATTTTACATGAATAAAACGTTGATTAATAAAAATTCAGAAGGAGTACAATAAAATTATTTTGGCATTTTATTAAACATTTTTATGTACATAAATAAAAACTCAGTCTTATTTTGTCTTTAATTTGAGTAAATTTTTTTTAAGTCTAGAATTATATATATAAATATTCATTAAATATAGGGTCCATCAAAAGACAGATCTCAGTATGTAATCACAGATCAGTTTCTATAATATGATATGGTGTGGGACGTTCAAGTTACAGGCACATCACAAAATTAAAACAAAAATTCACAAAATTAAATTTCATTACTTATTGTATATAAGAAATATATGTGGTATATCTTACATGCAGTAAGTACAGTATACCTCTCTATCAACTAAATTTGTAAACATTGAATTCATTTGAAAATCAAAAGAACTTCAAATAACTCGCTTATTAAAAACAAATAAAGATCAATTCAAATATGTAAAAATTCATCTTCGAATATCTTTAAAAGTTATTCTAAATGTAAAAAGTTATCTTCATGATATGTCGAATTAAAACTTAACTCTAACATAAATACAAAAAAAAGGAACTTCATGCTCTATCAAATGAAAACTTAACTCTAACATAAATATAAAAACAAAAAAGAACTTCAACTTATATTTAAAACGCTTAAAACTAATATAAATATTAAAACAAAAAATACTTCAAAAACTACATATTTACACAATATTTACATGCGGTAGATAGCGTTTCTTAAATTATTAAAGGCATCCGCACATGCCTTTAAACCTTCCCCCATTGTGGTCATAGCTTCGGCCAACGATTTCGCTACCTGCACACTCGCCGTACTTGTTTCAGCTAACAACTGTTGAAAGGGCATACGAATGTAATACTATTTTTTAGTATATACAAAAAATTACCTTCAAAGCATCTGCTTGTCTACTTGCTATTTGTACATTCGCTGCACTCGACTCTGCTAGCATCTGTTGAAAAAGAACCGAAAAAACTATGTCATGATATTTTACTTATGTAAAGTTACAAATAAGTAAATTACTTTTAAGGAATTTGCTTGGGTCTGAGCGATTTCCAAAAACGATTTTTGGGCCTCGGTACCACCGTCCACACGCCTTCTTTTGGCTCCTCTACGTGGCGTTTTTCCTGCAGGAGTTACAGGAGTCGATGTGCACATCTCAATGCTCACTTCGTGAGAAATAGATGGCATCTCGATGATTACACTTTCATCACCCTCTTCCATACGCAGTTGGAGTTCCTAATGATGAGAAGAATTGTTAACTGCTGTGCTATTCATAACTATTTATTTGCTTTTTCCCTCTTCCACTGGCACACTTTCAGCAACAGTTTCATGGCCCTGCACATAGTCGCTACCGACAAGAGCAATCACACGCCTCTCAAGCTCAGTGGGTGGCTCTTCATTAATGGGATTGTTTCCCGTCATTGCCTGCTTTCGTTTCCTATCACGCACCTTAATGCTAGTACGGCTCTTCAAATCCCTCCATACCTATTTGCGAAACAAAATTTTAAACGTGGTATTAAATTACTAAACAACTTTTACATACTGTGCGCCATTGGTCGACGTTCTTCACCGAACCACCAAGGCTATTCAGCATTGACGCTAGTTCACTCCACTTTTTGTCGCAGTCCGATTTTCCATGAAGCTTCTGGAACCTTGATCCTGCCAATCCCGGCGTTTCCGTCAAAAAGTCCACCATGCGACTTAGTTGTTCTGCTGTGGTCCGGCTTCTCTTTTGAATATTGGGTACTGACGAAGCCATTCTATAATATGCGAAAATGGTTATGTCTAATAATACAAAATAAATAAACGTTTTATTTTACTTACTTTTTGTAAAAGTATATTAAAATATTCAGAAAGCTATGTGTATACCACTTTGCAAGCAAAGAATTTATTTGTTTTTCGTCATTCTTCTTTGTGCTTTTCGCATTTTTTGACGTTTCGTTAAGCTGTGATGCCACCTTTCTTGTATTGAAATAAAAAGAAAATGTCAGCTGTTTAGTGTCGTTAAAAAGGAGTTACCGAATAACACAATCGTTACTGCAAACCACAAAAATCGTTATATTAGACCTCGACAAATCGTATCGTTAAAAGTTAGTGAATTGCACTACTGGTTTAATTAAATTAACATTGATTGCTTATATTTTGATTGCAAAAAGTTAAATTTGCAATCATTTAGGAGAAATTGATTGCAATTAATTTTTGATCGCAATCATTAATTGCATAAAAATTGATAGCTGCAATCCGTTAAATGACATTTATTTTGATGAATAATTGGAAGTACAATTGTGAGGCACACAAGCCCTCAGTGGGTTAACGTATCGCATTAGCAGCGCAAAGTGAACCCCCTCACGGCATTACACGTAGCAGTAGGTTGTTTTGATTGCCGTCTTTTATGTTCCGCTAATACAGAGCATATACAATGTGCGTGCATAAAAATTAAATTTTCTGCATGACAAAGCTGCACTACACAGCACCTCTATCGTGTTTTTTCAACCATCGCTAGTAGTATAACGTATCGATGGTTGAGTGGGAGATCGACCTATCTCGGCAGCCAGTTCGCAAATGCCCTATCTCAGAAAATTTTTCAATAACGCTCTACTTCAGAATTTGATTTAAAAACGCCCTCTCTCAGAATTCGGTTCAGAAACGCCCTATTTCAACTGCCGATGCAAATTTTCAATGTACTTTCGTTTGAGATAGGGCAATTTTGAACCGAATTCTGAGACATGGCGTTTTCAACCGAATTCAATAAAGTTCTGAAATAGGGCGTTCTTCAATCAAATTCTAAAGTAGGGCGCACTTTAAACGTTTTCTAAAACAAGGCGTCTTCGAACTGACTGCCCTATTGCAGGTCACCATGTTCCTGGGTCACCCCATAGTAGAATGGCCAGACGCTGTTCGCTGAGCGGCAAGCCCACTACAGGAAGGCCCAGGATTTGCGGTTTGGACCTCTTGAGCCAGGGCGTGCCTTGGTCCTACTGCTGGTGGGTGCGGGTACACTTGATATCTAATTCCGCATGGGGCTACTTTTGGCTAGGCCCGGTGGTAACGTGGCTTTGCTTTGTGCAGAGTTTGTGACTCCTTTCGACCTTTGTTTGGGAGCGCCGGACTCCCATACTGGAGTTGAAGTTTTAAGGTTTGGTGTTGTTGATTTGTCCATATTTTGTCCCTCGAGACGCGGAGAAAGGGAACGTGCGCCCGGGCAGAGATCCGCTGTACCCGGGTAAGGCTAGTTGGCTCCGAAGGTCGCCCGGTATCCGGAGCACTCCGTTCGCGACTGGGCTTGGTGAATTTAACGTTCTATTTTGCTCAATTTCTTTATTACAAAAGCATGAATAAATTATTGCATTTTTGAGATTGCAATTAAAATGTTTCATTGAATCAGTGATTTGATTGCAATCACGACCATTGCAATCAAATTTGCTTACAAATAAATTGATCGTAGTTTTTGCAATAAGAAAAATTAAATAAATTTTGATTGTAATCCTATTAGTAGTACAATCATTGATTGCTAAACAATTTTTTGCAAACTTTTACAGCTCTGTTCTTCAGTAAACTCGTGAGTGTTTACTTCTAATTCTAAGTTATCTACAACTCTATTTATGTCGTCATACTCCAAACCTATTGGTAAAGCATCTGTCGTCCTCACTTAGTTGTTTTTTTTTTTAAATCTATATATTAATACGCTAATGAAATCCCATATAAATCTATTCCTCCCTACTGCGTCTATGTTTCTCAACCGATTTGAATGATTCCTCTTTTGTTCTATAAGGTATTTCAAAGGGGAGGTGCACATTTTGCTTTTTTTCCGGTAGGTGGAGCAGGAGTGGAGCTATACCGTAAAACTTTATTTGTTTGCTTCAAATTCAAACTACATATTACTAACATCACGTGGAATGTACCTGCCAAATATTGACGCGATAGGTGGCTCCAAAGCCGAGTTAATCCAATTCTGTATAAGCCTATGAATGCCCGCTTTGGTTTCACCATCTACTATCTATATATTAATACGCTAACGAAATCCCGTTCAAATCTTTTCCTTCCTACTGCTCCTAGAGAAATCTACCTGCCAAAAATTGACGTGATAGGTGGCTCCAGAGCCGAGTGATTCCAATTCTGTATAAGCCTATGAATGCCTGCTTTGGTTTCACCAACTACTATTTATTTATTAATACGCTAACGAAATCTCATAAAAATCGATTCCTCCCTACTGCTCCTATGAATTATAAAACTATTTAACGGAAAAGATATGACTCCCCTTAATACTATTAGTGACGTAGACGATTAACAGGTGCTCATGAACCTAAAATTGCGACTAACAAAGTGAAAGTGTATGAAAAAGGAGGTGGTCTAATTTCGACAACGGGACGATACTAGTATAAATAATTCTTCTTAAGTGTAAATAATATAACTTACACTAATCAATGTGAACTTTCTGTTGTTGTCCTGGCTGATGGCTGACTATTTACTTTGTTGTACACCTGATTAAAACTGCTTCTGCTGCTTTTGCAGGCTTTTCTTGGCGATTTTGTCTTTTTGCAACCCTGTGCAACAGGCGCGGAAAGATTTTTTGCTCGTAACTTTATAGTGTTTCCACTTTAATAGCTGCGTAATAAATTACTTGGTTTGTGTGAATTTGTTTAAACACGACTATAACCACACACAGTTTGATTTACTGGTCAATACTCAGAATCTACGTTATAACACTATTTATGTTACTATTGTAGTTACATGTTACTATTGTTAGAGCGACAGCAATTTAAATGTTTTCCATTATTCACGCTTTGTTTTGGCCGTTAAATTTTGATCAGAATTTTTCTCCTCCTTCGTGAGGGTACTTATTTGTTCTTTTGCCCGTAAAAGCTGTCTCTCCTTTTTAGAGATACTGTTTTTTACTTCGGCACTATTCGTCTTTTTTGGCGAAGATACTTTTCTTACCTTCCACTTTTACTTTTACTTTATTTAATTTCCACACATGTACTTTCACTATTTTTAATATTAGTTGCGTTCCCCAACTTTTCTGGGTTAAAACCTGTGAAACTGTCAAAAGGCAAAAGAAGCCAGAGAACCGAGTACGGGAACGCTTTCTGGTAAATCCCTATAAATTCTTGCAACTTCTTCCGAGTTAGGGAACGCAACTATTCTTTGGATAAGGATACTTGGCGATTTCACTTTTCGTACCCAAATATATCAGTTGCTACTAGCGGTTTTTTTAAATTCGCTTGCGCCCCACGGGCGCCACTTAAGCTTTCCTTTCCGAGGAAAGCGTTTTTAAAAATATATTGACTCTTTATTTAATCCGCATCTCGCGGAAAATTATCAGAAGTGAAGTCTTTATTTCAATTGCCGCTTATTTATAAGCTAACATTTGTTTTCTTAAGAACTAATTTTACAACGAATCAAAAGTTTACAGAAGGAACACAAAAGACATCGTTGCAGTCATGGGCGTACGCAGGTACGGTATCGGTGTAAAGACGAAGTCGCATTTTAAAATTTACATGCAATAAACGTAACTAACAATTTTGTATTTTAACTCTTCAATAAGTTCATAATAAACTTTATGCAATATAAATTCCTTTGTAGGGCTCGGAACAACTCAATTGTTAAAATAACAAGTAATTTTTAAGCAAAAAACACAACCGACTTCAATTCTCCTACAAAAAATTAGAAGTACCGTTAATTTCTTGATCCAATGATCGGATCTAAACCAAATTAGTATTTTACCTCTCCTGAGGCTAGGGTTGCCAACCGTACTATAAAATATGGTATTGTACTATTTCTTAGGTCTGTTATGAAAAAATACTATACTTATTCAGTTATAAATATTGATACATTTCAGTAATTTGTCAGAAAAAAAAATGTATTAAAATTGATAACATTTATACTGAAATTACAATATTAAAAGGAGTATCTTTAAAAATAAAAGGTCATGGTGAGGTTATGAATAGAAATAGTGTTTTCTAAAATGGATGTGAAATTTCGAGATGAGAGAAACAAAGCCACTACCTCACTAACAAAAATGAACTTTTGATTTATATTAATTTAAATATTATATATAAAGCATATGAAACTTTCATAGTTAACAAGGGATTGTTAAAAACTGCTAAAAGTGGAAAGAAATATATTAAGAAAATATATTTATATTAACTTGAAAAGCGTTTTTATTCTTTCAGATTTTTTTGAAAATGTACTATAAATGTCTTAGAAAATGTTGGCAACCCTACCTTAGGCACCAGGAAAAGAATTGTCGAAACCAGTTAATGTGGTCTATACCCTGCAGTGAAAAATTATCAATTGTTAAAACTAACCAACTTATAGTTAGCTTTTTGGCGAGATTTCGATTAATACCTCACTTTTAATTAGCTATGACAAAACCAACTTAAAGTGAATTGTAAAGTCGTGCAGGAGTCATGCAGCCGCAATCGGGAGTTGGTTTTCTTTACAAGTTGCTATTAAATATCCTCATACAAAAATTACTTTCAATACACTTTTTTTCTGAACTTCGCAGATTCTTTTTCATATTCAGGACAAATAAAAGGAAGATCGAAATTTTATACTATCATTTTGAAGTTATGTCTGACGGTGTTCGAATATGGGGCCACCCAGAGCAGAATATGTAAACAAATATGAAATGTAATAAAATAAAGTAAATAATTAAGTAAGTAAAAAAGTAAAGAAACAAAAAAATATTTTGTTTTTTTTATTGATATTTTATGTCCAAAAGTAGTTAGTTACAAGTTAGTTGACATGTAATGCAGAGGTATCCAGGTCTGACTTTTTT